TTGGCTTTAATGAAACTCTGTTTCACAAGGAATTTCAGATAAGACTTTTAAAGCCGAGCCCAGCCATGGGTTTGCATCCTCTAACACCTGTGAATTGGGTGATCCTCTGCTCTTGAGGTCCCAAGATAAACTCAGAGCTTCCAGACCTGTTAGAAAGTTATGTGTCTGTTCTTTTACCAGTACCATGCTGTTTGGTTACTGTGGCCCTGTAGTGTAATTTGAAGTCAGGTAGCGCGATGCATGCAGCTTTATTCTTTTTGCTTGGGATTGCCTTAGTTATTTGGGTTCTTTTTTCATTCTGTATGAATTTTAACATAGTTTTTTCTAGTTCTGTGAAGAATGACAATTGTAGTTTAACGGGGATAGCACTGAATCTATAAATTGCTTTGACTAGCATGGCCATTTTACGATATTGATTCTTCCTATCCATGAGCATGGAATGTTTTTCCATTTGTTTATGTCATCTCTGAGTTCTCTGTGCACCGGTTTGTAGTTCTCCCTGCAGAGATCTTTCACTTCCCTTGTTAGCTCTGTTCCTAGGTGGTTTATTCTTTTTGTGGCAATAGTGAATGGGAGTTCGTTCATGAATTGGCTCTCTGCTTGCCTGTTGTTGGTATATAGGAATGCTAGCAATTTTTGCACATTGATTTTGTATCCTGAGACTTTGCTGAAGTTGCTAATCAGCTTAAGAAGCTTTTGGGCTGAGATGATGGGGTTTTCTAGATATAAGATCACATCATCTTCAAACAGGGATAGTTTGACTTCCTCTCTTCTTATCTGAATGCCCTTTTTTTCTTTCTCTTGACTGATTGCTCTGGCCAGAACTTCCAATACTATGTTGAATAGGAAAAATATAAATTTTAAAACATAAGTATTTTTAAAACTTTTAAGTTCAACTTACCAGTCATATAATTCTCATCATAAACCTGGTGAATGCTAACATTTTTTAGAAACAAGGTCTGACTATGTTGCCCAGGCTGGTCTTCAACTCCTGGCTTCAAATGATCCACCCACCTCGGCCTCCCAAAGTGCTGGGATTACAGGTGTAAGCCCCTGCACCCAGCCAAGGGGCTTTAATTAATAATTGGTTGATCTTCTTTTCAAAATTAAAACTGCTTTAGGCAGCTTATACTGCAGTTGTTCATCCAATATATTTTATTTCTTTTTTTAAAGCGATTGATTGATAAACCAGCCTCCTTAATACCCTTACTGCAAACTAATAAAAGTAAACATATAAATACAGTAAATCTTAATTTCTTTTTTTTTTTTTTGAGATGGAGTCTCACTCTGTCACCGAGGCCAGAGTGCAGTGGCCGGATCTCAGCTCACTGCAAGCTCTGCCTCCCGGGTTCACACCATTCTCCTGCCTCAGCCTCCTGAGTAGCTGAGACTACAGGTGCCCGCCACCACGTCTGGCTAATTTTTTGTATTTTTAGTAGAGACAAGGTTTCACCATGTTAGCCAGGATGGTCTCGATCTCCTGGCCTTGTGATCCGCCTGCCTCGGCCTCCCAAAGTGCTGGGATTACAGGCGTGAACCACCACACCTGGCTTTATTTCATTATTTTTTTAATGTTCTGGTTCTACCTGCAATCTCAATAAGAAACTTTAAAATTCTAAATCAGTTATTCAGTGACCTAATTTAAACTCAAATCTGCAGACATATCTTTTAAGCACTCTAATATGCCAATTTTTAACATTTTAAGAACCCGAAAGAACACAGCTCTTTCCTTTCGCTGCTGCAGCCACAGCCATAATTACGCTCAGGCTTTAGAAGAGGTTCGCTTCTAGTGTCCTCCGCTGTGGCAAGAAGAAGGTCTGGTTGGACCCCAATGAGACCAGTGAGATCGCCAATGCCAGCTCCCATCAGCAGATCCAAAAGCTAATCAAAGATGGGCTGATCATCTGCAAGCCTGTGATGGTCCGTTCCCCAGCTCCACGTCAGAAAAACACCTTGGCAGGCCGGAAGGGCAGGCACAGGGGGATAGGTAAGCGGGAGGGCACAACCAACGTCCGAATGCCAGAGGTCACGTGGATAAGGAGAATGAGGATTCTGCTGGCTACTCAGAAGATACCGTGAATCTAAGAAGATTGGTCGCCACATGTATCACAGCCTGTACCTGAAGGTGAAGGGGAATGTGTTCAAACACAAGCGGATTCTCCTGGAACACATCCACAAGCTGAAGGCAGACAAGGCCTGCAAGAAGCTCCTGGCTGACCAGGCTGAGGCCCGCAGGTCTAAGACCAAGGAATTGTGGGTGGAGGATTACCCAGGTGCTGAGGCAAGAGACTCAAGGCACAGACTGTTTCAGTATAATAAAGAAAATAGTTAGAATAAGAATAGTCAGAATACAAATTAGATATAGAGATGATCATGGATAATTATCAATCATTACTAATAATTAGCTTTTAATATTACTCTTTGTTGCATTACTAATAAAACCTAGGAATAACCGGCAGGTATAGGGTGAGGTGCTGAAGGGACATTGTGAGAAGTGACCTAGAAGGCAAGAGGTGAGCCCTCTGTCACGCCCACATAAGGTCCGCTTGAGGGCTCCTTGGTCATGCGGTAATGCCAGTGTCTGGGAAGACGCCCATTACTTATCTGACCGCAAAAGGGAGTCTCCTTTCCCTGGAGGAGTCAGGGAACACTCTGCTCCACCAGCTTCTTGTGGGAGGCTGGATATGATCCAGGCCTGCCTGCAGTCATCCAGAGGCCTAAACCCCTCCCTGTGGTGCTTGTCCACTTTCATGTTCCTCCCGTACTCCTGGTTCCTCTTTGAAGTTTGTGGTAGATAACAGTAGAAGTAACAGTGAAAGTCTTAAAGTCGGCCGGGCGCGGTGGCTCAAGCCTGTAATCCCAGCACTTTGGGAGGCTGAGACGGGCGGATCACGAGGTCAAGAGATCGAGACCATCCTGGTTAACACGGTGAAACCCCGTCTCTACTAAAAAATACAAAAAACTAGCCGGGCGAGGAGGCGGGCGCCTGTAGTCCCAGCTACTCGGGAGGCTGAGGCCGGAGAATGGCGTGAACTCGGGAGGCGGAGCTTGCAGTGAGCTGAGATCCAGCCACTGCACTCCAGCCTGGGCGACAGAGCTACACTCCGCCTCAAAAAAAAAAAAAAAAAAAAAAAACTCTAAAGGTTTTAATTCTTTTTTTTTTTTTTTTTTGAGATGGAGTCTTGCTCTGTGGCCCAGGCTGGAGTGCAGTGGTGCGATCGAGGCTCACTGCAAGCTCCGCCTCCCAGGTTCATGCCATTCTCCTGCCTCAGCCTCCCAAGTAGCGGACTATAGGCGCCGGCCACCAGGCCCAGCTAATTTTTTTTGTATTTTTAGTAGCGACGGAGTTTCACCGTGTTAGCCAGGATGGTCTCGATCTCCTGACCTTGTGATCCACCCGCCTCGGCCTCCCAAAGTGATGGGATTACAGGCGTGAGCCACCGCTCCCAGCCTGATCTTTCTTATAGGTGCATAGAAGAAAATGCTGATGTATTCTCTCTCTCTGCTTCGGCTACCTAAGAGGGAAGGGCACCCTGTCCTGTGATCACGTGACTTGCTTCACCTTGTCAATCACTTAGAAGAGTCACCCTTCTTACCCTGCCCCCTTGTCTTGTATGCAATAAATATCAGCGCTCCCAGCCGTTCGGGGCCACTACCGGTCTCCAAGTCTTGATGGTAGTGGTCCCCCAGGCCCAGCTGTTTTCTCTTTATCTCTTTGTCGTGTGTCTTTATTTATTACAATCTCTCATCTCCACACACAGGGAGAACACCCGCTAAGCCCTGTAGGTCTGGACCCTACAGGTGGATCACTTGAGGTCAGGAGTTCAAGACCAGGCTGGCCAACATGGTGAAACCCTGTCTCTACTAAAAATACAAAAATTAGCTAGGTGTGGTTGCGGGTGCCTATAGTCCCAGTTACTTGGGAGACTGAGGCAAGAGAATCACTTGAACCTGGCAGGAAGAGGTTGCAGCTGAGATCATGCCACTGCATTCTAGCCTAGGTGACAGAGTGAGACTCCATCTCAAAAATAATTAAAAAACAAACAAACAAACAAATAAATAAGAATAATAAAAATAAAAATACAAGAATTAGCCAGGCTTGGTGGCACACTCCTGTAGTTCCAGATACTCAGGAGGCTGAGGCAGGAGAATCACTTGAACTCAGGAGGCAGAGATCGCAGTGAGTCAAGGTGGTGCCACTGCACTCCAGGCTGGTGACAGAGCAAGACTTTGTCTTTAAAAAAAAAAAAAAAGTGCCTCACCAGGAGCAAGTTCAGTGGAAGAGTTTGCTATGATTGTCATTGTTGTTATCATTATTGTTACATGTACTAGAACTGTAACTTGCAGAGATATTCACGTAGCATCTAATTGGATTGTGTGCATGTGAGGCTCTGTCTGACTTTGGGTCATATCTTCTAAGGTCATTTTTTTTTTTTGAGACAGATTACAGGCATGTGCCACCACTCCCTGGTAATTTTTTTATTTTTAGTAGAGATGGGTTTCACCATGTTGCCCAGGCTGGATCTCAAACTCCTGGCCTCAAGTGATCCACTCGCCTGGGACTCCTAAAGTGCTGGGATTGCAGGCATGAGCCACTTCGCCTGGCCTCTTCTAAGGTCATTCTAATGATTCATTTCTTCACTCTGCCTCTTAAGAATATCAAATGTGGGCCGGGCACAGTGGCTCACACCTGTAGTCCCAGCACTCTGGGAGGCTGAGGCAGTCAGATCACAAGCTCAGGAATTCAAGACCAGCCTGGCCAATATGGTGAAACCCTGTCTCTACTAAAAGTACAAAAATTAGCTGGGTGTGGTGGCACGCGCCTGTAGTTCTAGCTACTCAGGAGGCTGAGGCCTCAAGAAGAATTGCTTGAACCTGGGAGGCAGAGGTTGCAGTGAGCTGAGATTGCGCCACTGCACTCCAGCCTGGGTGACAGAGCGAGATTGCATCTCAAAAACAAAAACAAAAATATATCAAATGCTCCCTCTGCTGGACAACACCTCAAGCTTGTGCTGAGCCTCAAACCTGCAACGTCAGTTCCCTCCAAGGTCTAGGTGTAGTAAAGTGGGTTGATGGCCCTTTAAGAGGCACTAGCCAGCTCTGGTTGCCATGGAGACAGCTGGACACAGACCCGGTAGAGGCCCACAGCATGTCCTCCAAAGTTTACTCCACAGGTGGGAAGAGGACTGCTGGGGCTGGAGGCGGGGATCCTCTTCTTTCTCCCAATCCACCCTCGGGGTAGTCTTAGAGGATTCTGTTCTTGGGTGCTGGGGCTGGGACTGAGGTACCCTGCCCCTGCCCTTCTCCCCAGGGTCTGCCATCTTAGCCTCTCCTCCCTCTGTAGGCTCCAGAGCCAAGGACCACCAGCCCTCGGGTGTGGAGTGTCTGCCACTCCCAGAGGCCAACGCTGAAGCCATCGACTTCCTCAGCTCCCTCCGTGAGCTCAGACAGTGTTGGGGTTGGGGTTGCGGGAGGGGTGCAAGTCTGGAGAGGAGGGAAGAGAGAAGGTCCAGGCTCTCTCTCTCTCTCTCTCTCTCTCTCTCTCTCTCTCTCTCTCTCTC